AGAGAGAGAGAGAGAGAGAGAGAGAGAGAGAGAGAGAGAGAGAGAGAGAGAGAGAGAGAGAGAGAGAGAGAGAGAGAGAGAGAGGGTGTACGCATGGCTGTACAGTTGTCAGTATTTCGGAAAAAAAAAAGAAAAAAAAAGGGGACAGTATGTCCGGGGCCGAGGTCCCATTAGCAAAGAGGATCGTGGATCGAATGCCTGAATGTGGACATGTTTTACGCATAGATGCAGAAAAGAAGTTCAATCTCGATTTTCTGCACTTCTCTACAAGTAACGTCCAGATTCAGGCATTCGATCCGATCCTCTTTGCTAGTGGGACCACGCCCCGGCGTGGCGCAGTGCACATTGCAGGACACGTGGCATTCAGTGCCCAGACCACAGATGACAGATCCTATCTCGCCTACACTACAATGCCGAATGGCGACGACATCAGCCTACCTAAGTACGAACAGATATCGACTTATGCTGTTCGCCACAATCATCACGTAAATTTCCACTATAGATTACTTCTTTTTCTCCCCTTTCAAATTTTCCTTCTCTCTTTTCCTCTCTCTCTCTTTCTCCCTCCCCCAGACTTCGTTCTGCTACGATCCTATCTAAATCCAATAAATACCAATAATAATAATAATAATAATTATAACAACAATATCAATAATATATATATATACAAAATAATAATAATAATAATAATAAATAATAATAATAACAACAATAATAATAATAATAATAATGATAATAATGAGCAGCAACGAATTTCAAGCAATCAAACATCATCATTTACACAAGACCAGATAGTCGTGTCCTCGAACTAGCGACAAAATTGCCTCACGATTTTTCACCAAATAAGAGCACAACATAAAGCTCATAATTGACAGTGTTGGTAAAGTCTCATCATCATCATCAATGAAGAACCGATGTTGATATTCTATCTGGCGCTCAACGCCCAGACTACAGATGAGAGATCCTATCTAGCTTATACTACAACGCCGAATGATGACGGCAACAGCTTTCCCGAAGCACGAGCATACAACGACCAATGTCGCACGCTTCCAGCACCAGGTATGTCTCTCGCCTCACTCACAACCTCGATCCCCAACACACAGATGCCACTTGCACCCAAGGACCATCATGCGCCCCATCTCCTTCCCTCTCTTTCACTCTCATGCACACACACACACACATTCACGTACACACGCACACTTACACACCTGCACGTACATACACACATATTGGTAGTGTATTCTTTCATGATTTAGCGTTAGATACATTCGATTTTGTTAGTTGTAGATTCAGTTAGTTTGCTCGTTTTATCGATAGAAATAGTGTGTGGGCAGCGACGGGGTTGGGGGACTTACCTGATGGTCGGTGCGTTGTTCCACGATGCCACTCGGACAACGACCGCAGAGTCTCCTCACAAGGCCCGATCTCCCGTACGGAATGGAACTCGTCACTGTGAGTGCGGAAACGAGGACAAAACCACAACAAATCCGCAACAGTTCTCCCCGAAACCCACAGATGAGGGTCTTTTGAAGTCGGGCGTCGCCCTCTCATCTTCTCTCTTCCTCCACCTCTTCTTCTCCCTCTTCTCCTCCTTCCTTCTTCTTCTTCTTCTTCTTCTTCTCTTTCTCCTTCTCCTCCTACTCCGTCTCCTCCTTCTTCCTTCTTCTTCTTCTTCTTCGCCTTCTCCTTCTCCTTCTTTCTCCTCCTCACGTGCTATTTCGTCCGACTCCCGCTCGCTTTTCTTCCCGCGCGCACTTTCCTGTCAACGCGCGCTATCTCTCCCTGCTCCCACTCGCTTTTCTTCCCGCGCACACTTTTTTGTCAACACGCGCTCTCTCTCCCTGCTCCCGCTCGCTTTTCTTCCCGCGTGCATTCTCTGCTGACTTGCATTTCCTTTGTGTGACCCTCCCCTCATCGCTCCCTTCTCCTCCTTCTTCTTTCTCCTTTTTCTTCTTCTTCTTCTCCTTCTTCTTCTTCTTCTTCTTCTTCTTCTTCTTCTTCTTCTTCTTCGGATCCTTGGCAAGGTTTGCCAAGGTGGTCGGCAGTACCTCGGGATCTTGGATCTCACAGGTATACCCCCACCGAAGACTGTTTTGATAGCCAGGTTGATAGCCTGGCGTGTACACTAAGTTTTTTCGGCTATAGGCGTGGGTGTGGTGTTTCCTAATTTTTCTTAGTTTTTTATTGAGATTTATTCTCTTGCACTCAACCACGACACTGTCTTTTTGGAACAGAATAGAGCACCGTTTTTTGGACACCTGGTACAGACCTGCGAAATGGCTACGGAACTACGACTTTAACCTCTGCACTCGTTTTTGGGCACATATTACAGACCTGCGAACTGGTTTTCCGGAGACTACGACCCCACAAATTTGGGTACGTATGGTCCCCCTGCAACCGTCTTTTTAGGATATCTGACCGTTGGTGAATCCGGATGGAAGTAGAACTGGATACATTGCGACGGGTTACTTTGGGATAGCGGTTTTTGGGCCCCAGGTAGTAGACTCCCGTTGGCTTTGCTGCTCATTTTTTTCTGATCTCTTCCTTCAGAACACATTTTGTGCTTTGGCTTCCGTACTCGGACGACACTCGGGTGACACTCTGCGCTATCAGTGATAAGTTATATGCTTGCTACAAGATGTTATCCCTCTCTTTGCGAGTCGGGCTGTTGATGTGCACGGACTTCTGTAGAAGCGCACATACTTCTTCTTCTTCACGCTTATATATGATGATTATGGGGAACGGAATTAGTAGATCAGACACCGGCCGGAGCGTTCGGAAACACGATGCATCGGAGAGGTGGGGCTTGGAAGGAAAGGTGAAGGAGAGAGGGAAGCGAGGGAAAGACTGGTTTGCACTTGTACTTTAGGACCTCCTGAAGAGACTCGGGCACGCACCGAGTCGAAACACGTCGAGGATTTGCGTGATATTACGGTGTTTGGCAGAGATTTGAATCTGTGCTCTCCGTGGAACGGTCTTATGTGTTTGCTTTACCATGAATTCTTGGTAGACGTGATAACCGACGTAGCCTCAGCCGTCCGTGTGGTCACGAGGGTTATCAGTTGCTCTTTAGGGCGATGAGGAATCCATGTAATTGAATTAGGAGATAGTGAGAAAGTGGTGGGAAGGAGGAATAGACGGTGGAAAAGAATGGTGGAAAGGGTATGTCACCGCTGTTAGAATGGAAAATGCGCTTCTTTCGACATATGCGGGGTATTAGGAGGATGCGTCGTGTTTTGAAGGAACTGGTTGGCAGTGTGATTTTACGAATGTCCAACCCCAATAGGCATACCGAATTTGGTAGAGCAAGTATTAGAAACTACCTGAACTGTAGCATGCGCCTACTTGGGATGTTATACGAGATTATCGTTGAGCCTATAGCTAGGAGCACGATACGGGCGTCTAGACTATATAAGTTGAAGATAATCCCCACCCTCAATAGTATGTGAAGACTTTTCGATCGTGTCTGCTCGATGATTAGGCGAGCTATTGAGGTTCTCACCGAATCTGCGTGAAGGGAGGGAGTCTCATATCGACAGGGATGGCGACATCTAATGTGATGGGACAGATGGGGGGCAATCGAGGTGCTGGCGTGCATGGAGCCGTAGGCTCAGGCTTGAACATGCCTGGGAATGCTGGCTCGAGCATACTTAACACGGGGATGGATGGTCAGAATACTTCGCCTAACGGCATGCCAGCAGTACCGTTCGGCGTCGTAACATGTGATATCTGCGGGAAAAATGAACACTATGCACGGAACTGCTGGCAAGCACCGGCTAGGCAAAGACCAGAGGAGGAGAACGTTGAAATGAGAGAGTTGCTCCTCCGGATAGCTAGAAGAGAGAAAGAGGAAGAGGAAAAGAAGAAGCGGGAGATTGAAGAGGCGAGAAGAAAAGAAGAAGACGAGCGACGTGAAAGTGAGAAGATACGGGAGGAACAGGCGAGAGAAGCCAAGTTGCAAGCTACGATTCTCCGTATTCTGGCACAGAAGAAGGAAGCAGCGAGGATCGTACCTGCACCACAGATCGCAATCGGACCGAAGAAGCGATCTCCTGGATCTAAAGCGCAGATGTTGCGGGAGATCTGTAGCTACATCGCCGAGTCTGAGGAAGACAGTGAGGAGGTTAAAGAGGAGGCCGAGAAATTAGTTGAAGCATTGGAAAGTCGAAAGAAGTCGAAGAAAAGCACTACTCTCGCACGTGCAGCGGTCAACAGAGCCGGGAGGAGGGTGTCTACTCCAAGGAAGGAAAAAGGTCCTGGTGAGAATACACCAGCGAATGATGGAGTTCTTGAGACTCCGAAGAAGGTATGCCCAGCCGAGTGCTCCAGTGAAGGACTGGTTGAGTTCACGTTATCACAAACTAAGGCGCTGAGTGGGATAAAAGCGCACGAAGTTCGGAAGATCTATAGCAAGGAAGGGATTGATTATGTCAAAAAGGATGTATCCATCTAGGAGATTGTTAGATGTCGTACTCGACTTGCATATGAGGGTTTTTTTGAGCGAAAGGCTACATCACCATCGACTCTGAACGCACAGTGTGGTGGCCTTGACGAGATCTAATGGCGGGAATCACCACGTGCGACGCTGCTGCCAAGTTTTGTGAACTGACTTCTCGAAGAGCACACGAGCAGAGTATGGGTATTCGACCGATGATGATTGCGGAGGAAGAAAATGAAATGGCACTCCTCATCATGTTGATGGCAGTACGGGGGTGCGTTCCCTAGATTAGAAAGTTGCTTAGATTCATTAAACCTGGGAAAGTTGATGTTAATTAGGTTGGGGTCTACGCTGTTGTTAGTCCATGTTGTAGACGTTTTTACATTGGGTGTACCGTTAGGAAGATAATTACCCGATGGGCAGAGCATGTAAGATGCTCTACCAACGGGAACATTGGGAATGCACCAAAGCTACATACATGGCTCAGATCATTCGGGTGGCAGAGCTATGCCGTTCTACCGCTTATCTCAGGGATAGAGGATATTCGGGTAGTAGAAAGTACATTGATTTCAAGATTCTCCCCATTGCTCAACACGGTTGGACGACAGGAAGGCAGACGGAAGAAGCGTAGGAAAGGCGCTAGGCAGAGAAGATCCCCCGGGCAGGGACAGACTGGCTCGGTGATTATCTTCAGAACTCATGGGACAACGTGTGCATCATTAATCACGTTGCTTCAACAGTACGAGGGGACGAAGCAACCAATCGATCTGATGGTTGAGCCAGGTGGATACTGGCTGGATTCGTGGAAGAAAATCCGAAAGAGGTATGGTGAATCGACATTGATTTTTGGACAGATGAGGATGAAACTGAGATGCGCCAAGAACAACATTCAAGGGTGGGCGATTCAATATCACCGCGTTTGTTGTTACGACATCCGGGATACAGAGGAACAAGCAGCTACTGCAGGATCTCTTGGCACAACCTTGGCGGATCAGACTGCTATATAGACTATCGAGTAGAAAGATGGTCGCGTTATATAGGACAGCTGGTCTGTTCTCAAAAAGCAGAACTAGATCCGATCTTCGCCAGAGATTGTCCCGGGCGTTGAAAGAGAAGTTCGGCATTGATGTTAGAAGGAGGATCGTAGTTCGTATCCCTTTTTCTGCGCAAGTTAGTATGGGCGCAGTGAGGGACATTGTGGGGAAGATCATTTCCGTATCGATTCAAGATGATTCGATACGGTCTCTCGTGATAGAGAGAATGCGGGTAGTGAAATTGAAAGGTAAGATAGTGGGGAGTATTGCTCACAACTACCGAACGATGTTGAAGGAAGGATACGACGTATGCACATGTGGAACATTCAGACTGGAGAGATTTGAAGGCCATGTACGAACCAGGCTTGATCAAGTTGATGGAGTGCATTGCTTCGTACACAACTCGAAGAACGTGACATGTGGCCGTTCAATGACAAAGACTCAGCTTGCTGAGTACATCGTACGGTCGATTCCAAAATCATGGAGGCAGAATGCTCTCCACATCTCTGACCAAGACGTTACGCGCTGCTTCGTGAAGGAAGAAACTCACCGATTGGCCCTGGTAGAGCAGGAGGTCAAGTTGGAAACTGATTGTTTTCAACAACTGGTACTCGTACCACTGGATAGAAACCCGGGTGCTACACTTATTATCTGCCCAGTCTTGTATTTCCATGCCTTTCGCATGAACTTTTGTTGGAACCCTAGTTTCATTCCTATGCCGGAGAACGAAGGACGAACTCTCACGTCGGCAAAGATCGCGTACCGTTAAGCGGGCCTCGATTCTGTTGCCACATGGCGTACAAACGGACAGTTTGAGAGAGCTTATGTTATCCCCAAGGATAAGGATTATTCGAGATGGCGGCCGATCTCACCCTCATGGTCCGAACCGTCACAAACAGCCAGTGCTAGGCTGGGCAGAGCGCTTCGGTACATGCTTTTGTGCCTTCCGGCAACCAGTCACTTCAGTTTGAAATCAATGGATCAGCTAAAGCCAGTTATGGAAAAAGCGGTTGTAATTGCCGGGAAGGCGGGCGATTCGATCATCGAGAGGAGTTATGACATAAAGGACATGTTTGCTAAGCTCCCCCACGGCGACATCACTACATCCGTGCAATGGCTATCAAGTTTCCATCAGGACAGGGGACTGATCGGAGTGAAGGTGAGTATACGAGGCAAGTGCTGCAAGATGGCCCGGACCGCACGCAAGGAGGATGGGTACATCCTACTATCCTTCGCGAAGATTCAGGAGATTCTGGAGTACGAACTCTGCCACACATATACGGTGTGCGAAGGGCGTGTATACCGGCAAATCTTTGGTGTTCCCATGGGGAAACACTCATCTCCAACTTTGGCAGATCTACTATGCGCAAGAGCAGAGTATACTCTTCTCCGATCCCTTGGTGATGACCGGCGACTAATAGCCGGCGTTCGGATGGTTGACGACACTTCCATTCTGCTTGCTTTAGACAACCAGGATCCAACCACATATTAGAAAGCTACGTGAATTGCTGATCTTTTTACAAGTTGTTATCCGGAGTCTCTTAAGTTAGTTAGAAAGGACGACGACAACAACTCTTGGGACTTCTTGGGGAGCAGGATAGTCCTAGAACCATCTCCACCTCTTTTGCATATCTTCCCTAAGACAAAGAACCAAGCGTCACTGACGAACCGGGGGGTTCTACATTTCCAATCCATGCAGGATTTCCGGTCTTACTCTGCTAAGAAGGTGAAGCGGATGACACTTACAGCATCCATGATCCGCTTGTGGAAGCCGTCCACGGACGAAAGGGCAGCGCGCACATCTATCATGTGTCACCTAAAAGAAGCTCGCCTCTGGGATTACCCCCCGGAGGTCTTCTTCGGATCCTTGGCAAGGTTTGCCAAGGTGGTGGGCGGTACCTGGGGATCTTGGATCTCACAGGTATACCCCCACCGAAGACTGTTTTGATAGCCAGGTTGATAGCCTGGCGTGTACACTAAGTTTTTCCGGCTGTGTTTTTTCCTAATTTTTCTTAGTTTTTTATTGAGATTTATTCTCTTGCACTCAACCGCGACACTGTCTTTTTGGAACAGAATAGAGCACCCTTTTTTGGACACCTGGTACAGACCTGCGAACTGGCTACGAAACTACGACTTTAACCTATGCACTCGTTTTTGGGCACATATTACAGACCTGCGAACCGGTTTTACGGAGACTACGACCCCACACATTTGGGCACGTATGGTCCCCCTGAAACCGTCTTTTTAGGATGTCTGACCGTTGGTGAATCCGGATGGAAGTAGAACTGGATACATTGCGACGGGTTACTTTGGGATAGCGGTTTTTGGGCCCCAGGCAGTAGATTCCCGTTGGCTTTGCTGCTCGGTTTTTTCTGATCTCTTCCTTCAGAACACATTTTGTGCTTTGGCTTCCGTACTCGGACGGCACTCGGGTGACACTCTGCGCTATCAGTGATACGTTATATGCTTGCTACAAGATGTTATCCCTCTCTTTGCGAGTCGGGCTGTCGATGTGCGCGGGCTTCTGTAGAAGCGCACATACTTCTTCTTCTTCACGCTTATATATGATGATTATGGGGAATGGAATTAGTAGATCAGACGCCGGCCGGAGAGTTCGGAAACACGATGCATCGGAGAAGTGGGGCTTGGAAGGAAAGGTGAAGGAGAGAGGGAAGCGAGGGAAAGACTGGTTTGCACTTGTACTTTAGGACCTCTTGAAGAGACTCGGGCACGCACCGAGTCGAAACGCGTTGAGGATTTGCGTGATATTATGATGTTTGGCAGAGATTTGAATGTGTGCTCTCCGTGGAACGGTCTTATATGTTTGCTTTACCATGACTTCTTCTTCTTCTTCTTTCTCTTCTTCCTACGTTCTACGTCTAATCCCTCCCCCTCCGATTGCCTTTTCCTCCTCGTCACGCGCATTCCCCTTCTTTTTCCTCCGCGCGTTTGCTGCCACCCTGCACGCAATGATAGCGCTCACGCTCGTCATCGACCGCGCGCCCGTAGTCCACCGAGTCCCTGCACGCGCCCCTCCTTTCTCATTCGCGGTGGTCTGTTTTCTTTGCAGACGCGATTTCTGCTTGGCTGTACGGGGACTTGACGCAATCGAGACCGCAACGAGACTTTACAAGGAAAAAAAAACTTATTTCCCTCTCTACTGAATCTGCCTGGTTTTGAAGGCAGATTCATTCATGTGAATCTATGGAGAGTACTACGGGAGCCGACCAGAAAAATGAATAATTAAAAGAAAACTAGCAAAAAAAAAAAAAAAACAAATGAATCGAACTAGATAACGAATGAAAATCAAAATAAATAAGATTAAAGAATCTAACTACTAACTACTCCCACGAGCCAAGTGTAACAACCTCCTGCGTTGCCACTTGTGCGGGGCCCTGTATGCGTACAGGAGTACGGATCCGTACTCATACGCTACTCGTACGCAAGGGGCCCCGTACGACATTTTTTTTTTTTTTTTTTTTTTTTACCTGGCCACTTCGGTGTACTCCATGGAGTCCGAAAACCTGAAAACCGCTCGAAAACACTTATTTATGGGGCTGTATGGCGAAAATATGCCCCTGAACAACCCCCGGGCCCCTGCTGCTGTTGGCCTAACAGTCCACAGACTCCAGCCTGGCACTGGGCCATGGGCTATTTTTTCTTATCAAGTTGCTTGTTCCCCACTCGAAAACACTTGTTCATGGGGGCAGTATGACGAAAAATGCCCCTGAACAACCCCCAGGCCCTTGCTGCTGTTGGGCTCACTGTCAACTGACTCCATCCTGGCACTGGGCCGTGGGCTATTTTTTCTTATCAAATTTGCTCGTTTCGGCGGAGAGCTGCTGTGGTAGGCCCTCTACCTACAGCCGACGTGCGAGGCAGGTAGAGGGTCTGCCTTGTCAACATTATTTACTGCTGACATCACAGGCACTAACATGCCTTGCACAGGCTGGCATGACAGACCCTCTACATGCTGCTGACCTGAGAGGCAGGTAGAGGGCCTGCCACGTCAGCGTTGTGTGCCGCCTGATAGATGACATGGCAGGCCCTGTACACGAACACACACACACACACACACACACACACACACACACACACACACACACATTACAGTCTGCTAGGATTGCAGGGTTGGTGTAAATAAAGTCGACAACTTTTCTCAGGGGTATCCCTAACTCTGTGCGATGTGGTGAGTCCTTATCCATCAGTCAAATACATC